AGCCTGCTCAAATAATGTGGCTGTTTCAATTCAGCCGGAAAGACTCTGACTTGAGCATCATCTAGGCTGAGAATGTAACAGGGCATCGGTTTATGAGGATTCATTGTCTGAACACCTTTGCTTCATCAGTTTTGGGTGAAATTAAGAAATTGTACCGTCTCAGGATTGGCCGCCAAACGACGATCTCGTCGTTTGATGACCAAGTCAAAGGATCATCAAGCTCTCGTGCACAATGAAAAGTTTGTCTTATTCTGGGACTTTTACTGCAGCTCAAGATCTTGGTTATCCATATCAAGGATGAAGCTCACTAGTTTTATGCTGTCGCTACTCTACTTATCTGTTGCGGCCACACTGTTAAAGATCATCGCCTCTACACTTGGAGCAAATCGTCGATGCGATAAGTGACGCTGTTCTTTGTTGCAATGTGGGGGGTGAACAAGCAAGCTTTAGGAGGCTTTCGAGTTCAAGTTGCTTGATGCTCTGCTCGGATTGGATAGACTTCGAATGACTTTGAACATCGAACTTCGTGTCTTTCCTGCTTTTCATTTTCAGCGGTCTTCTAAACGGAATCCGGCTTGGTTCGAGGTAAGGAATCATCCGCTGTTCAAGCATCCCACAAAGTCCTGATGGCGAGTAGCGGTTTGGTCCCCTGTGGCGTGACGGATGTGGCCGCGCTTTGGCTTGTCACTTCATATCCATTATTTGGATTATCCTGCCCCGTACTCTTGCAGAGAGGCACGGCCACCATCCAAGAGTGACCTCGCCTTTGTGCAGTCGTAGTTCTGATGGGCATAAGCGCCCTTTTTCTCAGACCTGATATTTCTCTGGGGACACAACAGTTGTTACCTGGGGTTCGAGAATGGACCAGAGTTGGTTTCGATCAAGCGCATTCAGCGGCATCCAGACTGTTTGGCTGTCGCAAGTTATCGTCACTGTCTGAGCATGTCATAACCACGCTTCAACGATGAACGACGAGTCCCAGAGTACTCGGTTGTTGCTACCGGGGATGCAGTGCCCAAAACGCCAAGAAAATTGCCATGATTCGTCAGAAGACGCGAACTATAGGAAGAAGTCATGTTTGACAATGCAAGCCTAGGAGATCAGCGGATGCATGGTCACGATGCAGGTGGTGTACTTCGCTTCGCCTGATGAGGTGACTGCTGCTCTCGACGCTGCAACGTGTGATTCATGGGATGTCCCCACCGATTGTTGACGGCCCAATGCAAGAACGTTCCCACCAACTTTCGACTGAACACGGAAAAAATGTCCTAACGTGCTTCTTGACATGACGTTGCATAGGAAATGGTCTGTTGCTTCCGACGTCAGCCCCATTAAACGCCCCGATCGGCGGCATCGCCCCCGGGCCATCTTATATGTTTATCTGCTTATCTGACACAACAGCGGGTCATTAGGTCATTAGGTCATTAGTACTTTAACCGAAGCTGGTGTTGGTGCTGCCCAAAAGTCGCGTCATCATGGCTTGTGCGCTGGAGCTGGCAGCTCTGAGACCACGGAGCTGTCTTCCCGTTGCGCTTCACAACAACGTCATTCAGGTGCAAAGAGAGTCGGGAAGCAGGCATATGGACCTACCAACTCTAAGAGTCTTCAGGGTCTTGTTGTTTCTTTCGGGCTCCTACCTTGTTGGGGGCCATTTCGATGCACGTCAAAAGGTGTCCAGCGCGTCAGACGTGAATGGTTGGTTGGTTGGTTACCTTGGAACCTTGAGGGGCGGTGGGAGATGGTGAACAGCGACGTTCATGGAATCGAGCCCAAAGAAAGATGCATGACGATTAAGCACTTAGAGACGAAGAAGCGGAGATGGAGATGGAGGATTTAAGTTCGGCCTGCGTTGAATCGAGTGGAGGGGCACTTTCCTAAATCAGACAGACGCCTGCCCCTGCAGGTACGGTACAGGGGAGCCACGCAGCGTGGGTAAGGTGATTTGAGGGGTCCTGCCGATTCAAGTGTCAAAATCGGTTCGGGGGCCAGTCAGCTACAAACACTGACTTCACACCTGTAGCCCATAGAGAGCCCGTTGCTGCAGCCACAGCCACTCAACAACCAAATCGTCGGCCACGAACAAACCTCCGCGTCAGACCCTGAGCAGCAACCCGAGTCGCCATTCACGTCTAGCTCGCACCCTTCGGGCATGTGCGTTCTTGTGAGCACCCTCAATCGATGTGATGTTCTTCCATCGCCTGAATCGCTGCGCTCCATCATCCTCCTGGTATCTAAAGATTCCATTCATTCCAACGAGACTTCTGCCAAGACATTGGACCAATGCGTGTAGAGAACGTCGGCACCAAAGATAAATAAGATGACTTTGGCGCAGACGAAGCGCGACTCGACGTAGAATATGAGGGGATGATCTACGAACTTTGCAAAGGTCAGAAGAAAAGCTGCAGGCACTTTTGCCGGCGCCTTTCCAACAATGGACTTCAAGGATGATGTTCGGGGCGGCGCCGCAGCAGGCGTCAAGGTACCAACTCACGATTTGGCCGCTGAAATCGACATTGGTCGCTGAAGGGCCGCGGTAGGGTCTGTACCATCTTCCCAGGATGGTACGGACTTCTGATTGGCAGAATCTGGTGAGGTCGTGTCGGGTGAGGAAAGAACCCTTGTGAAGGACCAGGCCAGAGACACGTTTGCGTCTTACCTAGAGTACCTTTCGACGCGCGTCGCGTCTCTCCGTTGGAACATCTGGGTGCTGCCAAAACGATGGGCTCAACCCAGCATCGCCTTTCCAACTCCTACTACAACATGCCTGAGCAAGCAGGAAAACCTTCAGGTGAACACTAAATCTAAACAAACTTTTCAGTACCTACGTCTCTCCTGCCATCGGTGTCCCTGAAAGTTCTAACCGGTTGACTGGTTTCCGGAGCAGGTTTCTGACGCCGACACCGAGCGCGATGCCATCTTCCAAACTCCCATTTTCCGTCTCATCTATCCTTCCGAACCGCCCCGACAAAGTCGAAATCACCAAAACCTGCTACGAGGAGGTTTTCGAAGAGCAACCACGACCATCCTCCTTCGATGCCTTCTCGATGTTGTTTGTCATCCCACCGATATCATCCTTGCCAGGATCCTCTCCGCCACCCGCCATCGAATCCAAGATTGTCATCTGTTTCGGGAGTCTCATCGTCCATGTAGCGCCGCTCATCGCCGGCAAAGTCTGCAGCTCGAGCTGAGCACCGGGTGTCCCAGACTCCCAGTGACTGCGAATCCACTGCCGAGGCTTCCATACTCATTTCATCTGTAACTAGCTTGTATTCCATGCCGTCATCGCAAAGGGGAGTTTGGGCGCAATGTATCATCTGTTATTTTCGACGAAGCTGCGACGGCTATTGAGGACGAGGACGAGGACGGCATGTAGCCGGAGATCCAGGAGTCGCCGCGCCGTGGCCATTACGGGCCACAGAGCTGACGGTCTTTCCATTCCAGAAAGCAAAGCGGAGCCCAACATGGGCTGAGCGTGAAGTCATCACGGAGCAAAAGGACTTGCGGCGGCGAGAACTCAAAGAATCGCAGCTCAGTGACACCCACGGCCGGTACATGCCTGAATGACCCCCCTCCTCCTTAGTCCAGTGTTATCTTTAAACTCGCGCGTCTAACGTTTAATGTCCATGATCTTCATTCTGGGCGGCAGCACTGAAGCACGAGCCAAGCCATTACTTCTCTCCTCGACCGCAAAAAGGTCTTGACAGACTGGCCTTGGCGACAATGTAACATCAAACCAAAAAGCAAAAAGCATTAAGCCCTGCTTCACCCGCTACAGTCGCATAGAGATCAGGTTTCCCCCTACCAGGGCGTGAGTGCAACGCCTCCTATGGACAGTTCTTCTGAGACTACGTGTAGCAGGTGAGTGCGGGAAGGGAGCACGGGTGAAGAAAGAAGGAAGGAGGGAGGGAGGGAGGGAGGGAGCGAGAGGGAGAAAGGAAGGAACGACGCATCACACAGGAGAAAGGCCCAACGGTGGACGGGAGGCAACCATGGATATGTGGGGCAGGTCGGTCTCAGGGGGAATAAGAAGGCCCCCCCTGTCTGTCACAGTTACAGTTCCAGCGTCCCCAAAGCGATGGCATCTAGTTCGCTGGCCGGCCTTAATGTGATCAACCGTTTTGCAGATTTGAACGCGGTTTCCGCGGTGTCAATCCTCGTTTTCTGTCAAGAGTCTCTTTTCCTTATTAACTTGCAAGTCACAGGGAACTCGGTCTTTTTTCCCAGCATCAATGCCACCAAGGACCACTCACAGCTTCGTGACGCGTCTTTGTTTGGGACTATTGTTGAGATGGAGCCGGTAAGAATGATGCCCCTAGTGGCAAGAGTAGCATCGTCTTGAGATGGGGTCGCAGGTATTTGGCAAAAGATGCATCGACGAACACGTCCTGTGGCTGCAGCTGGACCATGGGCTATACGTCCCAGCAGCTGAGGCCGGCTGCCCAATGACGTATTCACCGTATTCACCGGATTCGTATGCAGCGCCGGGCACTCTTCCGAGGGGGGATAACAATCCCAGCGTGCACGTCATTTAGCATGGCCCACCCTCGCTTGACGCATGCAAGACAGTAGGCCGCCACCGGCAGCGTGAATATACTCCAAAGGCTTGATCATTCCTTCAACCTGTCGAATCAGGTGTCGCAGGAGGTGTTGGAGCAGAAAAGATGCGTTGAAAAGCCGGCCAATAATCGTCTGTGATCCAGCGCGAGAGGTATTGCAGACAGCAAACAATGGAGTAGACGCCGATGGCGTGCTGCGTGGAGCCCAGAAAAAGCTCCGACCACAGAACCTGGCATTGTCAGTTCATCACATCTAAACCGGGAAGAAGCGAGGAGAAGCTACCGTTTTTTCCTCATCTTTCGGACAAGCCACGAAGTACCACTTGTGACCTTCAATGATGATGGCGGGGAGGAAATCGGGCAGAGGGCGGGGAGGGTCGGCGCGGCTCGCTAGCCGGCGCAGCAGGCGCCACTGGGCTTCAAGCCAGATCAAAAGCTGAGCCTGGGCGTCGTTGATCCCCGCGCCCTCCACCTTGGTTTCGATGCTCAAGACGATGGGGCGACGGCGAAATGGGTGATAATCGGTATGGTTGATAGACATGCTGAATAGGTCATCCTCGTGCTGGATCGCGGTGATGGCCTCAGCCGTCTGCGGGCCAGGCTCAACCACGAAGCAGAAGTCGACCTTTCGGGCGGGGCCGCGAGAATCGATGTATGTGTCGAGGATCTTAGCCGTCGCACTAAGAGGGATGGATGGTTAGCTGGGGGCATACGAGCAGTATTGCAAGAGGCATCCACATGTGGGTTTGACATACCAAGGCAGAAAAAAGACGTTATCCTGCTTTGCGCCCATCTGGGGCACGGCAAGCTGGAGGATCTGGTTGTGCAGGCACTGATTCCATGAATCCTCGTCGTGCTTCTCGTTTGCGCATGTCTTGGCGAAGTCGAGGATCTTCATGACTTGTGCGACGGTCGGCGAAGGCCCCAGCTGGTCCCTCGTGGAGTTGTCGTCAAAGAACCAGTCTCCGTCTATCGATTCGAACCGCGCTGAAGTCTCTTTGGCTTTCGAGATTTCGTCCTTCTTGGACCTGGAGATGACACCTTTCCCGAGAGCAAACGAAGACAAAGCCGTCCATACACGTCGCAGGGAGGCGGGAATGTCGGTCTCATCGGGGTCGTATTGTTGGACGAGGACGGGCCAGGGCTTATTCTGGCGGCTGGCGATTTGTTTCGTAGGGGAGACGCGCGAGGCGCTGCTGGCCTTGCTGGCCTTGCTGGCCCTGCTGGCCTGGGAGGGTGTTCGGGCGAGCAGGTTGGGACGTTGGCTCTTGCTCACGCGTGGGGTGTCCGCGTTGTCGGTCGCATGGCTCTGTGCAGAAGAGGCGAGGGGTGATGACTGCGACTCTCGTTGTCGCTTTCTTGGCGATGACATCTCAATGGAAGACGAGGGCGACCAAGGCCACCAACGCTTGAGCTTGTTGCCGGCAGGCGCGGCCGATGAAGATTTGTTGTCGGTCGAGATAATAGGCTCGGGTGGACTGTCGGTGATGCAGTCAATCCACTCGATGATTCGACGGTGTTCGTGAGAAATTTCGTCAGTCATTGTCTTCTGAAGCATGTCCTGCAAGGCATGGTGATGGATGGCGGTGGTGGTGGTCGTGGTCGTGATGGAGGTTGAATTGTTGAAGAAATCACTGTCTGCTAGACTCTGCACAGACTACCTGTGCAAACGGCACTCTCAGGTTAACAAGGGGGGGACGCTATCAGCTTGTCTGATCACTCCTTTGGTTGCGCGGGGTGACGGGATGACCAGCATGCCCATTGGTGGTATATGCTGTGGCACCCATGCACAATTCTCCACTCCTGTGCGCCAACGTTCACAAGCACACTCACTGCTTTTCAGCTGTGATCGGCTGGCGGGGTCTATGCTTATGTCAGCGTCTGGAATAAGTGGGTCATTGTACCCCAGTGGGTTGAGGTGGTATCACTATGTACCAGGATCGGCAGACTTTGAGCAGGAGACTGTGCACAGGCAGTGGAATAAAGCTTGCACTTTCTTTAGCAGGCCAGCTGTGTTGGGACCGCCATCACTTGGGGCATGCCCATCGAGAACCTGGGGAGACATGAGCCCTCACACGTCAATCACAGTCGCCAGCAACCCCATTCTTGCATTGCCTCTTGAACATGTTTCTGTCGCCATGCTATGTCCATCCTTGAATGTCGCTCTCGGAAGGGCTCGAGGTCTTGCAATCAAGGCGCAGACAGACAGACAGTATGCTGGTGGGTGTGCCCGGTGCCTGTTCACCCAATATGATTAGCGCGTGAGGGTGGGTACCATCTTCTGAGGACGGTACAGCTCTCTGATTGGCCGCAGCGCAGTGGACCTGTTAAGTGACAGCTGGTGCAATCACTGCCATACCCAAGTACGCTAAGGATTCCCTGTCTGTCCCCGTTCTCCCCCGCAACTTGGCCAACCCTGCCGCAGACATCACCATCATCGTCAATCCATCGCTGCATCAACATGGCCAATTAATCGACAAGTCCGTCACATCTTGTCCATCTTGCTACCCTTTTCTGCCTGCTGCGACTCAATAGCCATGTCCTCAATGCCAACGCTGCCATCATGGAACGACGCGTTTCTTTTATTCTTGCTCCATCCCCATCTCGGTGCACTTCCTCAGACGCAGCCACTCTCCATCTCTCTCGCGTGCACTCGCCAACCATGACATGCCCAATGATGCCAGGTATTTTCTTCTGACTTTTCATTCTGATTGCCTTGATACCAAGCCAACAGCTAACAAAAAACCATCAGGCATAACCCGCCTCCATCTCATGCCGAAATGCGACCCCTGATCCGATCCGCGATGATCTTCAATCGAGCAAACTACCAACTTCCCCAGCTTCAAGTCCAACCGCGTCTCCACGTCAATAAATACTGTACACATCATCTATACCACAAAGCAGCCTGACTGCAATGCCTGCCAGTTTCCAGGTCCTCAGGTCCGGCCGCGTCAGCAACGTCGCTTGTCATGGCCTGCACCAAGTCCTCCATCCCGGCCCGGGCGGAACGAACATGTCCCGACCACACGGTCATGCATCTCGCTCCATGAGCGCTGCGTCGCGACCGATATGTGGCAGCGGATTCTCGCGCGAGAGACCTCTGCAGACGCGCGACTCTCCCGTGCTACGCTGCCGACATTCCTCTCGCCCTCGCCGTCGCGCATGCCCGCTAGCCCCAATTTGGGGTATCGGCAAAATCAGAAACCATACGCGGGTTCTTCAAGCATCGACTTCCATACATGTTTCGCAAGATGTGCGAAATCGCCTTTTGTCGTCATCAAAGGAATCGAGCGACATCATCCGAAGGCGAAGCCGGGTCTAATTGCCGCCACGCGGGAGAACATGAAGATGCCGGCATCACCGCAAGTCTTCATCTCACTGTCGCTTCCGTTACCTCATCTCAACCAAGGCGTTCCTGGCATTTCCTCGCGTCGTTCGATGGACAATCATGTCCACGAAACCTCGTTTCTGAATCAATCTATGCACCGTCGTCGCGTCGGTTATGTTGGCCCTCGCGCTTGCTGCTGCCTTCTACTTGAGCCAACTCTTCAGTTTGCGTCAACCACCACTGGTCAAGGCCGTGGTGATCCCCACTCCCAAACAGTTGGGTCAGTTGTATTCCCAGTTCCCTTCATCCCCTCTGACCCTACCTTTGCCAACGTCATGTCTTCTATGTATCCATGTAGGATGACGCTGACCCCAAGTAGATACCGACGCATACATCTGCGCTCTCCACCACCAAATACAGGCAAGCATCGTGTCCTTTGACGTCCGCACTTCCTACGAGTTTGTCGGCGCCGAAAATCCTTGTTCATCTTTGCCTGATGGAACCGCCGAGGGAAGCTTGCTGCTTGCCTGGACCAAATATACGAGAAAATGGATGCAGAGTTTCAGAGATATCAGTGCCAGCGGTCTCGGTCTTGGTATCGGTGGTGGTGCTGGTCATGATGTGACCACCGGACAGCAACGTACCCGCTTCTGGGATGATGGAGAGGAGGGGGCCGAAAGAGAGGTTCGTTTCTGACGGTATTGGATTTTCTGACGGCCAGACCGGATGTGCGGGCGCACCGCAACTACATGTTTCTGCGACCGCTAATGCAGCCGTCTGACCGCGTGGCTACACTGAAGACCCTTTGTGGTCGCGACTGGGAGCTGGCGAGCCAAGAGGCAGAGACCGTTGGCCGCAAAGGGGGCATATGATATGTCAGTGATCGTTGGTTATGCATGCTGGCGGGCGACGGATGGCGTGGCTGCAGATCAAGAAAGGGCCTAGACAAGATACACAGTACAGGTGATCAGAGGTAAACTGGACAATGCAAATTTGATTACCTTCATACCGCGTCGTCTGAGCATGAAAGAATGCCCCCGGCCCTGCATTCATTGACCTTCTAAAAGCCATGACCGTCACCTGTTCTCAATGGTTCGCCCGCTTTCTGTGGACTGACTTGGAAGTTCCTTTGACCTTCATTAAGGACAGCGCAGCCTTTCGCGCCACCTATGGACCATCTGCATGGGAAGGGTCTCCGTCCCGGCCGGCCATGACATCACAGCCGAAAACCTCGAGCCAACATCCCAACACCAAGTCCAACAAGTCATCATGGCAGCCCCGACCGATGAGGACAAATGGGTCATTCGTTCGCGCCAGCTCCAGCGCTTCCACGCTTGGGAACCCGCTCATGCCTTCAGCAAGTCAGTCTCTGTGAGCCAGAACTACAGCACATCAGAGGTTCAAGTGGCTGCCGTCTCCAGAACCCTGGTAAATGCCGGCTAGACCTCGTTCTCCGGCTTGATGGCTGACCATGCTTTGTCTTCTCCGGCCTGCAGGCATTCGACGAAATTGTTGTTCCCTCATGACGAGCCACATAGGAATAGGAGAGGAGTGCAGCATTGCACCTGAAATTATCGAGCGTGGCAGCCCCGCGGCACAATCTTTCTATCGGCTTTTCTGCTCCGTTAACTCTTGCGCATATCAGCGCTGCCGCCGTCCGTCCTTACAATGAGGTTGGCTCGCCACATCCCGCAGCGCAGAGGTGCTGGTTACCAGAGGCAGAGGGGGAGAAGGAGGAGGCAGCGGTGAACTACAGACAAGAGCGTAGAGGTCAATCATCAATAGAGGAGCTTGACAAGTTTTTGGGGTATATTAAACGAAAAAGAGAAGACTTTAGAGGGAAAGCATGTGTAGGGATAACTGCGAGCCTACATGACCACCATTCATGACCACCATCCACGAACTGACCACCAAGGGCTCTAATCTTCGTCCTCCAGACGGAGTGACATCAGAGCGAGTCCAACCACATTCTGAAAATCCAACATAACCTCCCTCTCTGGGGCATCCACGACGAGCCGCTCTTCGCTGCTGCCGAGAAAGTGAAGCCAGGGTGATCCCACGAGCCCGCACGGCATGTCGTTGTTGCTGTCCTTACTATCGAGCAGCGAGCTGGCGTCCACGACGAGCCGTCTGATCCACGGGGCGTCGGGCTCCTTCTCGAGACCAATGAGCATCTGCACAGATTCTCACGGGTCACGACGCTGCTGCCGCATCTCGGAGCTCTCGGGCGCGCGTTCGTCTTCGTTCCGGCGCGGCGATTGATGGAGGTGGACAACTCGAACAACAGCCAGTCGCCTGCAGCAAGGTCGGCTTCGGTCTAGACAACGATGCGTGGTGGTGGTGGCGGATGAGGATGAGGAACGTCTCGGTGGCGCGCAACTGGGCGGTCAGCCACAGGGGCGGAATCGTCGGGGGCGAGGATGACAGAGAGAAAGCATGGCGGAGGGTGGCGGCGACATGGCGTGGAGGTGGTCTTTATGTCTAGCTCTTCATTCTGACCTTCACCTTCCGCCTCGATCCTGCGCTGCACTAGGTTGTCGCAGAGCCCGGCTGATGGCGCTGGCTTTGCTAGACCAGACCGGATGTGGCAGGCCGTCTGCTTAGGCGGCCCAGGAGCCTTGAGCCAGCGTCGGCGCGAGCAAGGATCTGACGAAGAAGTGCGGAGCGGTGAGGCGACCATATCGAACGTGGGGCCCCAGGTGAGCCATCAGGACGAACGAGGTACATTGTGTCTGTCTCTTGAGGTTGAAGAGGCTGGCCAGGTGTGACCGGCGCCTGATGGTGAGTACCATCTTCCCAGGATGGTATGGGTCTCTGATTGGCCACAGGGCGACACAATGTTCCTTACAGCGGCGCTTGCTTGGCGACAGGCGGTTGCAAATGATGCGTTGGTACATTGCGCCAAAGGTGATGCGCGGGGCCTCTGACTTACTCCGGAGGACGATGAGCTGGTCGCAGGTGCGGGACTTGGTGATGGATGGGCACATGATGGCTGGTGCCGGCAGAGAGAAGGAGGCAATTCGAGGAGATGGACAAACTGTGAGTCCGTTTCAGCTCATTTACGTGGCCGTGAGCAAAGACGAGGAGGTTGATTGAGGTACGACGCGGGCAGGGGGCCGACAAATGGAGTGCAAGCGGAAAGTCGTTCTCGACAGCTATGATCACCGCGAGCGGCACCCGTGAAACGGCCTCGATATGCACAGAGGCGACCAAGGTAGGTAGAGGTGGCGCTTTACCCCTGAATGCTGCTTGTGTTCGTTCCCACCCAATGTCGGGATTTGCTGATGCATCTATGTCCACAGGACCTCCGGTGGACGTCGAATCAGCCAGTCATCTCGCCCTGCCGGCTGTACGACTCCATCCTCGACGAATAAAAGCCTATCAGGCCGCAGGTAACGTCGGCAGCATTGCCAAGTCCAACTTCAAGTCGGTGCTGAACATCTCCAAGAGGATGGACGAGCTGCTGCAGGACAAACAGACTCCATGCAATATGCGGTATAGCACGAGCTGGAGGTCAGGCGCCTGCACTGGATTAAGCAGTATGCGATGAGACGGGGCGAATGGGAAGCCTGGGAGGAACGGTGATGTTGAGCCTCGAAGCGTCTAGAAAGCTTCCTGAAGGTGATGATGGCCTTGATGCCAGAAGCGCGCATATTGTTTGACGATGGGCTAAAAAGCCATACGATGTCAGTAAACGAGAACTCTGGTACGCTTTTGCACTTGATACGTGACATACTTGTGTGAGAAGTTGTTGCCGTAGATCACCTCTTCGACAGCCCCTCACGCTTGATCTGGGGGGCTGGGGGGGAGGTGTTTTCTGAGTAGAGAACTGGAACGACTGATCCTGCCATGTTCCTGTTCCTTGACGTGGTCGCGGGCATTGGAAGACGGGATCCGGCGAGGGAGAGATGTCATGCAGCTGGGGTTGTCGCAGGCCTGGAGGCGGCAGACGTTGAGGATCACAGGTGCCGAGGATGTTCAGACTGCGAAGCGCGCTGCTGGCGAAGGCCTTCGATATGGAAGCAATCCTCTTGGTTCTGCCGTCGTTAATGTCTTCTCGCTTGGATAAGAAGGAGGGGCTTGTTCGGGATGGTCATCGTCAGAAGGCAGCGAGCCCAGGCGAGATGTGAGTCCTGACTGAGACATGGCGATAGTTTCGAGTACGGAAATTACTTGGATAATAGAGCGGGAGGAGAGCAAGGCCAGAGAACACGGGGGGCAGGAGAGGGCAGGAAGAAGACATACGTCGGGACCGGCAACTTGTTGAGGGACTGTGGCGCCACGACATCGTCAAAGGGATGCGGCTCGGCAAACGGACCTTTGTGACAGTGGTCGCGGGTACGGCAGGGATTTGGCGTTGAAGACTGGGTCGGCGACGTCGGGCGGAAAGACGCTCAGCTTGTACAGCTCGAAGAGGAGGGTAGCTCGCACCTCAAGACACCAGACTTTGGCGCTCCGCTTCTTGGCTGGTGCTCCGTAGAAGGCGACGGGCATGCAACAGACTTCCTGGGCTTCGCTAGTTCGTCAGCCAAGTCTGCCCAGTGTCTGTTGCGGGAAACGGTACCTGGGCTGTGTTTGAAATACACGTTGATAGATGACGGCCGCTAGACAAAGAGCAATTCGATGTACGATGGTCAGTGGCTGAGGGACAGAGGGCAGGACAACTGCGACGGCATGTAGATCTGTGTTCGCTGGCTGCGCCAAGCAGTGAGCATTAGGACCGGTTCGATAGCATCCTGTCGTGACGGATCATGTCATCATGATTCGCTTGGAGGGCCGTCACTGGGCATCGTTCTTGCCTGCGTGCTGCTCTCGATGCCCATGATTTGAAGTGGTTAACTGCCTGATTGCCTTTGATGGCAGTTCCTTGCCGTCTATGTGAGGCAGTCTTGTTGATTGCTTGCGAGACGGTGCCGTCACATCTAGACCGCTCGTGAGTCAACAAACTCATGCACCGGATGCTGCCCCAGCTGGACGAGGCGACGATGCGCTGCTGGTAGTGGGCAGCCAACTTTGCTGATGCGAAGCCAGATGAGGAGGCTTCGGGCGAGACGCGTGGGGAGACATTCAGAGCAGATTATTGGGTCCGGCGAGTGGTTATAATGACAATGGAGGCTGTTAATAGAAGATACATCAAAGGTTATCTGATTGTTGAATGCTGGAGAAGGCATTGATGAACCGTGACCGACCGAAAGAGCAGCTGCAGCACGGAGGGCATGCGCTGTAAATTTAGCGCACCTCCAGCGCATGCTGGGAGAAATCACAGCATGGAAGCACCCGAGGTAGAGCTGCTGGGGCCAACTTGCCGATTTTAGCGCTTGAATCGGCAGGTGGTGTCGCCAGCATCAACCCACCAGGGGCGATTCTCACTAGAAGGGGCGGCGGCCAATCAGAGAGCCGTACCATCATGGGAAGATGGTACACTAGGGGCCCTGGCTCGCTAATCACAGTCAACCGGTGACATCTGCCGGCGGGTGCACCGTGCCCCAAAATTACCCAAGGTTACAGGGCCGGTCGGAAAAACCCAAAAGCCAGCTCAGGTCGCAGTGCCAAAAGGTACGTACCCAGAGTACATGCCTATGTTCCCACAAGAGCTAGGCTTAGAGCTCCAAGCTCCAAGCTCCCAGCTCCAGTCGTCCACCGTGACGTCAGCTCAATCCATCGATCGACCTCGCACCCAACATCTCGTCCTGCTCTCCTCCAACTCTGACGAGCGCCTTTGCATCGGCTAGCTACCACCTTGACGCGCCCGGAGTAGGCACCCAATAAGTGCAAACTTCCAACGGTTCGCTGCCATCTTGGACCAGGCAACGCACGAGGCGCATCGTCCACTTAGACCGTCTCAACCTTCTCCTCCAACTACCACCACCCGCCCCACCCCAGTCCAATTAACTGACAACTCTTGACAGTGTGCCCGAAGTGTGCTCGCTGGCCCTCGTCGACATAGCACAAGCGTAATCCGAGAAGCGACAGACAGTCTCCAAAAGGCATCGATTGCCGCTGTCACAAAGCCTCCCCGCGACGCGCCCTTCGTCCTGCTCGGCCCCGTCTTCGATGTCGCTCGATTCCGACACACACATCCACATACCTACCAACAGACGTGCACCCTTTTGGCTTCTGATCTGACGGTTGTCGGCTGATGTTGCCGATCCGTGGCGGGCACGTCCCTTCGTAGACCAGGCTTATTGCTGAAGACTCGTCGAGCCCAGAGATAACAAAGCGCTTTTTACCCCCTCCTGGCTCTTACACAACATGGCATGCCCACACAAGTACACCTTTTGGTCTTTTGTTTCCTTTCGCCAACTGCCTCTTCCAAAACTTGAAACGTTCTATGCTTTCCGCATTCATCCATCCCGACAAAGGACAGATCCATCGCTGCAATAGCCCCTCGCACCAGGAAACCGTGCAAAGTCTTATCCAGGGGTTTTGCCCTCAAGTCTGCATGATCTGCTAGTATAGACTGGGTATACCATCGCTCTGTGCTCCGGAAACCTTGAGCCTTCTCTGGCCCGTCAGTGTTGCTGCTGGCATCTGTCCGCTCCGCCTGCCGTGCCGAGATTCACAATGGCATGGCGTATCTTGACTTCAGCTTACAGCTTAGACATCACGTTAGATTAGCCATTAATATCAGTTAGGTGCCAAATCTCGTCTTGGTCAACCACGAAATGCCCACTGCCTCCGTCTGCCCTCTACCTTGCGGGAGAATCTGAAGGGGAGTCAGTACGGTTTCAATTGGTCTTGGAAGCATATGTAACACGCCAGGACAAGACCATCAAACACTAGTCGCATTCGGTTCCATGCTTGTACGCCAGCTACACCAATGTGGATTCGAGAAATATACTACGTAATGGTCCCAAATGCCAAGAGCCAGTACAAGGGATGTTCAGTGGAATGCATGGGTTTCTGTGTTTGTTGTGATTGCAATTCGCCCGTCCGAAAAGGTGAATGACGGTTCAGATATCGGCCAAGGCGGATCCATCATTGACATGACCAGCTGAGGTGCATCACCGATGTTTCAACATGTACCCACGTAGATCTAAACAGTGTGATCTGTGGACCGCTACAAGCCATGCCGCATTAGACGCGCTTTCCGCCTAGATGTAACACCGTTGTAAACCCAACAAAGCTCCTTTATCCTGACCGCCTAGTACTATCTCTTCCTTAATCGCATTCTGTCACTACTTGCACTCCTCAGACGCCTTTTTTGTAGCTTGAAACTCCTTGTATTGACAACGGCAAAGGCTTGTGGCCAGATGGATTGTCGACTGGTATGCTGGCATCGGAAGAGGTGAGGATGGCTTGTGGAGATGGCGCCGCCATGCTGGGGCATTAATTCGGCTTGGGATAGAGTCGGTGTTTGCCAGAGACGTGCCGGACGCGATTACAAAAACCTCATAGTTGTTTCTATTCTCTTGTCTAGCTGCGTTCGCCTGACGTGCGAGACTTGGTGAGCTGACATCAGAATGGATTGGGGAGCTGGGGGCCGACCTTTTTTACTTAGACATTAGGATGCCAAGCTGCGCCGTAGAGCCAAGACAGAGTTGAGATAATCTGCTCCTCCGCCATGTTGCTCGTCAGTTCCAACGAAACCAGTTCCGAAATCGTGTGCATGGGCCTATTGTAAACAAACAATGTCCAGTGAGAGCTGTCGCACGCTGGCATCGTGACGTTATCCGCCCAAGGAGAACCGGCGCCAGACGCTCCCGACACCTTTCTGGTCTTTCACTCCCAGGCTTGGCCAGCGTAAGACTGTCTACGAGTCCCATTTTTGAATTCAAAACACGGTGTCACATGGCATTCACGACGGTGTCGGTGAGCCATTTGTGCTTCGTCACTGTCGCAGGCCTTCGAACAGACTCTCTGCAGTCGCTCTTATCCTGCAAGCATGCCTGATGGCGGCTGCGGCGGCGAGTTCTTCGTCATGTGGTTGTGGTCGCTTGTCTGGTTGCGCAGCGGCGGCGTCATATTGGACGTCTGAGTTGGCCATGACCTCTACCTCTCTGGTGCTGTTGGTCTCGAGCTTTTTTCGTCCTCAGTCGCAATTGGCGGCACCTTGTGTGGCTCTGGCGTATCGCTTGAGTGCGTAGCTGTCTTCAAAGAGTGATGGGGTCAACGCAACTGGCAGGCCACAACTGTGGCCTGCACAAGTGGCCTGTGACCTAGATTTGTGGCCTGCCATCATCACCCATGAGTCTTCCTTCCTTCCTGACTGTCAGGTTTATCTGGTCCTAGCTCTGTTAGGTATTATTTCCTTAGCTAAGTATGTTAGCGTTGGTCGGTTCTTTGCCCTTTGACAATGCCGCCGCGCGTGCAGTTGCGGCAAACAGCGAAGCCGATCTTGCGTCCGTCTCTGTTGTGATGACCGGAGAGCTGTGCTCCAAGGCTGAGTAATCTGAAGAGTGATGGGTTAAGCCCTGGTCGGGGGAGTACGTAAGGCTGTCGGCCCCCTGCAGGGCTCTCAGGGCTGTCAGCCAACCCCAAATCTGGCGAGTACCGTTCTGGAGTGGCCGTGCGCGCTCTTCGGGAAGCTGACCAAGGTCGTCGGGAGGAGTCTCGCTTTGACCTTCGTGCTTGCGCTCAGCTTCGGCCGGCTCGATCTTGTGAAGGTCGGTCTTGGTGCTGTGGACAAGACTGATGTCTTCGTTGTGTTGGTCCTGGGGACCTGGGTCGTCGGGGATCTCTCGTGTGCCCTGGGCAGCGCTTGCGTCCTTGGCTGGTTTCTGCTTGTTTCGGAGACAAGCCTTCGAGTTCGTCCAGGTGTCAGGTGGAACGACTATTGATCATCAGCAAAGGCGCCCGAGGAAAGTCTCCCGCAGAGATTGGGGATTGGAGTGGTGGAGGAGGAAGGGCAACCCACGACCTTTTACGGCATATCTGATCAAAGTATTGGTGATGACTCTGATTTCCGCTGCACGTAACCAAAGAGGCAACGCCACGCTTGGTCTCTTTAGCAACGTCCACACTACCTGTATTGGCGTTGCCACATTTCAAGGCCTGGCAAGTGTTTTTGGGATGGTTCTTGTTGTGCAAGGGTAAGGTAACGATGTCGGAAGTCGGCATTTCAGTGTTCCGCGCAGTCGCGACTGGACGTTGTCGGGAGGGGAGGCCACGCTTGTGTAGGCATCGGAATGCTTAAAACAGTGGGCTTCGACGATGGAACCGGGAACGTTGTCGTGGGCGAACAAGAAAAATGCCAGATGGTGTCCACTTTGGTTCTCTTCGAACCACGCTTGTCTGAAGTCCGTCCACAGGGTGCGTATGCGCTCGTCCTCGGGTCGGACCAGGCTCTGTAGGGCTTCGATGCACGCTTGCAAATCCATCAGTATGTTGTACAGAGCGCAACGTAGAAAAAAAATTAAAAAAATGAAAAAAATCCAGGGGCGCACGCAGCAAGAAGCTGGGTGAGACGAGTACTAAAAAACGAGGGCGATGGCGATGTAGGCAGACGTGAGAGGTGTTCGTGGACGGATTTCTCATGCGCGGTCTCCCCGACTAAGGTGCTACACCTGCATCTTGGGTCGACAGATGGGAGGATGGCCCTGCATTGCGTTGTGGAGGAAGGAAGGCACACATGCGGTTTGGCGGTCTCCTTTTTGCAGAGGAAATAGAAGGCAGAACACTCGAATGTGAAGACTAAAGATGCCTCCCGGAGGCGGGGGCGGGGCAGAGACGGCCGAAATTCTCCGGCGCGACTGTTAAACGGGTGAAATGCTTGTGTCGCGAAGTGATTGATGGTTTGCTGTCTTCTGATCTCGGTGCCTGCGAATAACGAGGCGCGATTGGCAAGTTGGGCGTTGCTGCCTCTGCGGCTTCTGCACCCTCGACGAGGTAGCTTTCGGGAGAGGTGGATGCAGCGCAGATGGATGCGACCGAATAAGGTACAAGCCTGCAGATGGGGCACAGACGAGGGTGTGTGATGGGTAAGGTGAGTTGTTGCTAGTGCTGCACACAGGATGGAAGTGGGATAGTGGTTGCGCCGTTAGAGGCCGTACCTCCCCAGGGCGTAGGCACTTAGGAAGGAACTTATCCAAGGTACCTTCCTCCTCCCATATACCGACCGCCAGTTAAGGTGTAGCTAATTAACAGATTTGCAACACCACCACCACTACTACTAACACCACCACTACTACTAAGATCACATCTCCTGCTTAACCTAGCAGCCAGGATCAGACTTCCATATGCAAGAAGATCATTGTTTTACCTGCCTACCACGCGTTGTATGTCGGATGTGATGGGCTGTTTGTCGAGAATGCTGCAGTGGTTCTCGCTGCTCGCGGTCCCAGGTGCACCCCCTTCCGCCTTGGCGATCGACTCTTTTGCTCCTCTGACCATCATCGCATCGGGTGGCAGCCCGCTATCAACCCAATTAGTCGGCCAGTCATTTGGGATCTGTTAATCGTTCAGGCTGTCGGAAATCACGTAGCCATCGACCTCGCAACAGCAAAGAAGCAAATGCTAGCGCTGCATCAGAGCAAACATTTACATGTTCGTGATGAACAGGCTGTCCTACAAGGCACCATGCTGACCTCAGCCAGGATAGGCTAGTTAGTCCTACTAGTAGCAGTGTTCTCTTTTAGAACAACAAAAGCTATGTAACAAATACTAGGAACTAGGGACAAGGTTAATCAGAAAGTGTTCTTGGCCAGCGTGTGCATAGAACATTTAGGCTAGACAAGGGCGCTTAAGAAGCAATAGCCGGATCGCGGGGGAAACGTGATTCGCGCTTAACAAACTATGGTAGGATGCCCCAGAGGGTCACAGCGCACAATTGTGGTGTTCATCAAGGGGACTGACTGCACAATGACAGAAAAACGTTTGGCGCATAGCCGGCTTGGAAGCTGCGGCGGCCATTTAGAGAGCCGTACCATCTTCCCCGGATGGTACGGGCCCTGATGAGCCAGTCATGGTCAACCAGAGACTTTTGTGATGCCCAGTGACAAGATGGGCAGCATCCATGGATGCGTCCAAAGCTTCTTCGATTGCAACCCACCTTTGGGACCGCGACCGCGTCTCGACATCATCGCCTCGCATTCGATGCCTAGTAACCTTCAGCGACGGCTTGACGCACTCAGCACTTCTTGCCTTGTCAATGGCTACCTCGTTCAATGTCAGGTCCTGAGCAATGCAATGCATGCTCTGCAGCTTTCGGAGTACGGAGTCTGAATGTCCCCATTCACACCCCGTGCTCCAGACCATAGCCTCCGCAGCAATCATCACCACAACTGCGATTCCAATGAATGACTTGGCCACATGAGACGTCGTATCCCGCCGTGCAGTTTTTGCCTCCCCATCTGCCCTTTCCACCATCGCTGGCTTTGGTCACGCTAACAGCTGTGGTCCTCTCAGGTTCCGCTTCCAACCTTCGACGTGCCCGAACTCCACGAGCCGATGACCGCTGCCGTCCTGCTGCCGAGTAAGCATGCATCCGACCCCCTTGCGAACCATCATCTACCATCGTGTCCCTCGATTTTCGAATACGTGCTAGTGCAGCAGAATCACAGCAATACGCAAGCCCAGAGGCTCCGTCCGAAGAAGGTGATGAACGGACAGGCCGAGCTGCTCCTCGCTCGCCATTCCACTCGTCTCTTCGTCCTGGTCTTGCGGCTTGCTTTCCAAATGCGGCCTCGATGCAACACTGACGACGTCGACAAGGGCCACAAGGAAGGATGTGGAGTGGAGGCGCCTTTTTGATATCATGCCTCGCCTGTGTGTCTGCCTGCATTGCCCGCAAAAATAAGCTCACAGCAGGGGGCATGGCCTCGAGGCCACCGAATACCAACCACATGGATGCCCGCCGTCAATGAGCTTTGTATGTCCACTTTTCTCCCCGAAGCTGATGGTTTTCATGCTGACCGACCTGAGTGAGGCTTTCTAATGGGAACCGCGCTTTCGAACCACGTCTTGAGCCCCTTTCGCAGACGTTCACTTGCGACACAGCTCCGAGACGAGTTTGTCCGCTTCTTTGGAGAATGCGCGGGAGAGGTCTATCATACGAATACCCGTTCTCGCAATGCATCGCTTTGGTGTGCATGCACTCCTGTCATCGAGAAGAGACGCTCCGTGTACGAACTCGAGGTTGCTAGATGGAACATCCTCTCGTCCCTTTTGTCAGTCCACAGCATTGACTTCTCGCATCGTCAAGACCGTCTCTTCGAGCCTCCTTTTCCAGGGGTGTACAGCAAGCAGCTTGCATCTTCGAAGACGCGACTTGCGGAGAACCCACGACGTGACATGGATATGGATCCAGAGAGACGGGTTGCTTATTTGAGCAATGGAAAGGTTTCGAGATGACCAATGTCGGCAGGTGTTCGGCCTGATGGAAACGTGCCGACAATTTTGGCTCTCGCTCCTGTTCCCAACATTCAAAGCAGGTCGGCTTTTCCCATCGCTCCCGTTGGGCAAATCACCGATAACCCCGCCGTCAGATATCTCCCAATATGTTCTATTTGGAAACGACGTCGCACCTCGTCCGTCGCTCACTTCCTCTGTGTCTTGATTGCCCCTTGCGTAGATTGCTTCGTCTACGATGACGAGAAGCCATTGGCGCCCTGCGGCGGTCTACCGTCCCGGTTCAAGTACCACTTCGTCTCAAACCGCCCCGGCATGCATTCTCTGCAAATTATTTACCTTGTTCGCTCTCTAGAGTTCATTGGTGCGGTTCAAGCCTGCAGCCTGGATCTCGGTGAACCGAGCTCGCAGACGCATCGCCATGTCGGCGCCGCAGAATAAGTCTTGCCTGAAACACTTTGATTGTCTCGGGCTTTCAGACGATTTGCGGGGAGTCGCGTACAAGGAGCCGCCTTCTTCTTCCTCTATCCATCCGATCTGGGCATCGACAGTTCCCGAAGTCCACTGCCCCAGAGTTGCTGGGCTAACATGACGCACTGTCTCTTCCAAGCTGCATTCTGGCCGAAAGCCCGAGTGCCCACACGCGCCCGGGATTACAACACAGCGAAGACTCCGTTCGGCAGGCGTGTCGGATCTAGTTGAGCGCAAGGTGACCAAGTTGATCAAGTTGATCAAGGAAAAGAGGTTGCTCGACGGCCCGGGCTGTTTAGCACACTGTCCAGGATTTCTTGGGTCGTGGCGCCTCTGATAACTCGAATCTAGGTTGGCATGTCGCATCTCAACGACTCTCAGATGTAGGCAAGACAGGTTGCCGGCTTTGATACGGCCCCCTTCTCAGCCGTTGTCAGCCACCACAGAGACGTCTCCTCCTATTTACTTCATCTGATTCTGACGAGATGACTAACCGCAACGCCGGCTGGCTCCATCGACAAGTACCCTTCCCCGGGCTCCAAGTCAAGAAAGACCAACGCCTTCTTCATGCATCCTCGGAAACCCAAGCAGCATTCGCAGCACAAATGGCTCTGACTCCGACTATCGACTGGTTCCCCCGCCCCGACATTGTATCAACCTTTCCAGCGTCAACTTCGTCCATCTTCTTGTGCATCTCTCTCGCCTCCTGTCAATCTCATGGTGCTGGTTAATCTGCTCACAGCCTGCGATACGTTATTGAGTCTTTGGTTTGGGAAAGTAGGTCATTGGCATTCGTCTTCATCAACTTCCCATCTCCCTTTTCCATTGCAGTTTAGCTATTCCTTTGTCTTCTTCATCCATCCTTTTTTCGTGTCTCTGTCACAGGGACATGTAAGCAACCATAAGCCCTAAACGGGCCGCCAAAACTACGTGCTCTTTACAAACAAGGGTCCAAGATGGGATGAATGCTGATGCTAGTATGCCTACCTAGTGGGTCGCTTGCCTGTTCTGGCATTGATGTAGGCTGTAATTGGATCACGACAAGATTAGGTTTTTCAGGGCGAGGGTCAATCCCACCACTACAACGCCAAGCATGCGTTGCAATATTGACCGATCTTGTGCGAGACGGGCCCCTTTGGGAAGAAGCCTCAAGAGCGGCAGAAGGGCCTGGACCCATCACATTGTTGTCAAGGTTGTTTGTTGTTCCATCAGCGTGAGCTGTGCGGAATGCACCCTCCGTTGTCGCCACAGAGGCAAGCCGGGGATGGACGAGAACAGCGACGGTGGGCTTATCCCAACATGGCTAGCTGTGTATTTTTATCCTTGACGTTACGGAAGCGGAGCTCGCTCTGGGCGGCTGA